TGGCTAAAAAAGGCTTTATTCTGGTGAGATTACATACTACTGCCAAAAAGTAGTTGGCAGTTTTCAGCCCATTCAGTTTCTGACCCCAACAAAATTTTTAAACTGCTAGAATACAACAACAACTAAACAAAAGACAGGTTGCTCACTGGCAGAGACAATTGTCAGGGTCCTGTTTGCTCTTTTAAGAAAGAAAATGCTTAAGATATACCAAACTACAAAATGAAGCCAAAATAATTGTAAGGAGATAGTGTTTAAGAGAGGTGGGGGGAAAGAAAGAAATATATTAGAGACAAATCAAAAGATTTGAAAAGTAAAAGGAAGGCTGTATGTTTAATTTTTTTTTTTTTTCCAAAAGAGATATAAGCGTGTGTGCTCATTAATAATATAGAAATCCAACTGCTTTTTTTTTCTTTTTGCTAGAGAGGAGGCAGAATAATAATAGTAAACACATACCTTGTTAGCATGACAAATACCTGCACAGAGGAACCTTGTTCTGGTTGGTTGATCTTTATGTTTAGATTAATAGGTTACATTTTTCTTCCTCACCCCAGTTTTTCTTTAAAGCTCATAAGTTTTATTGAAGAAAAAGTTACTTGCTGTTTAAACAAACATAAGTACACTTAAAAAAAAATGTGAGTGAGGATATGAAAGATTTTGAATAATTTTATTTGAAAGATTTTTTTTTTTTACTGTACATTTTAAACCGATATTAATACAGGCTATACTGAAAAAAGAGGCAATCTTAAAAACATGTTAATATTCAAATGTTACTTCATTTGGGACAGTTTTAGGATCCTTTTATATAATGCTCTTATAGCATTTTTCAAATATATGACCAAAATGAAGTAATACTTTCACAGAAGAATTGGCAGTTTTTTCATTTACAGAAAGACTCAACACATCAAGCAATAATGCACTTACATAGAGGAGGGAAGAAATACTCAGATTGAGCAAATGTCTCCCATGGAATCTGAAAATTTTCTTCTTTAAAACAAAACATGTTTATTAACATTAGATTTTTTTTTTTTTTTTTTTAAGAAAAATTTTTTTTCAGGTTTGTTAACATTATGAAATTAGTAACTTAATTACTATGCTTTTCTAAAATAATTCAAGTTTATAAACATTGTCAAAAAAATTAGAAACTGTCTTTGTGCAACAATTTCAAAATCAGATCATGTCCCACCAGTTAGGTAAAGAACTCAAAATTAAGTGCACTTACACAAAACCTTCTTTAAAAAAAAAAAAAAAAAATGTTAAAAGAATAACTGTAAGAGGTAGTTAATTTGTGAAATATATTATTGTGGTTTTTAAACTTACAAATTTTCAGAAAAAAAAAAAAAAAAATGAAACCAAACAATCTATTTGTAAGAAGAAATAAAAATCATTTATTTGTTTTACTAGAGACTTGGACAAAACAAGTTAAGAATGGAAATACCATTAAGAATATGTATCAGTAGCTTATATATGTTTGCTAGAAATTAGTATCAGTTTCCAATTTAGTAATTTTCATTTTAAAAGAAAGCAACAATAGTTAGAAGTTGGGGGAGGGAGCAAATGGAATGAACCTACTTGGAATGTCTTAAGAGGCTGGTAGAATAATAACAACAACAAAAAAAAAAAATAAATAAAATCCCATTAACAGAAGGTTTAGTACAGTACTGTAATTATGAAATTTTTTTTTATAAAGACCAGACAGAACTTACCCTGCAATTTGATTTCAGAATTTTCCTTCTCTGAAGTGAGTGAGTGAGCTTGTGATAAGCCTCACAAAAAAAAAAAAAGGAAACAAGCAATGGTAATAAAACTTCAAATATGATACTGAGAAAGATCATGGAATAAAAAGAGGGTTTATAGGTTAGATTCAATCTTCTACAAACCTAGTGAGTTCTCATAGATTAGTCAGTTGAAGCAGCTGGTACGTTCAACCAGGCCCCCTTGATGCAAAGAGATGGAAATTCAAAACTTACTAAGAGCTTATCTTTTATTTTTGACTAATGCTGTCTACTTATTGACAGACTGACAACCTGAGTAAAATTGAAATAAAAATTAACTCAAGAAATTAAGATAAAAATTAAATATTAGTAAAATAAATAATAATGATTGATAATGCTACATCTATGAAAATAAAGACAATCCTGCTATTAACAGTGAGCTTTTTCTGTAAGTGCAGCAATAGAATATTAGAGTTTATAGAAGGTGCTTCAGTTTTGTGGGGTGGGTGAGTGATTGTAATTTTAACAAATGTTAGTGACACAAATGCCACAAGTTCTTGTTTAAAATGCTCTAGTAAAAGGCATGAACCACGAAAGTTTCCAAATCATTAATATCCCCTTATCAGATGTATAAACATCTGAAATAAGAATTTGCATAATTATCCAGGAAGGCATAGTAATCTAGTTTCATGTGCAAACAGAGGAAGGTTTAGAAAATCATAAACAAAATTAATTAAATGATTTTGAATTTTATGCAAAGCAATTATCATGTTTACTGGTACATGGTGCATTCATTTTATGGTTTTATTTAAAGCAGTATAAATATCTATAAAAATGTGTTAAACTTAGTTTCTACCTTGTGATATGAATAAAAAGACATATTTTGTTGTTCTGTATAGGTTTTGAGTTGAGTGTTTCAGATTAAATGGATGTAGACCCCACCCCAAAGTTTTTGCCTACTTTCTATTTTAGTATTTCTCTAAACAAACACTTCAATGTTATTTATTTTTACTTTGATTTATAAAACCATTTTTTTGTATTAAAACCCATGATGCAGAAGTATGCCACTTTTGAAGAAAACAAAAAAAAAAAGAAAAAAAAAAAGTAAAGCAAATCCAATGTCAAAGATACACAGTATCTTTTTTTTCTTTTTAGTTTAATACATTTAATTTTATTTTCCAAAATAAAGCATAAGTTGTCGTATATAGTAATTTCTAATGGTAACTAACAAAAACATATATGGTATTATGTATAACAGTGGAAATATTAAGGATAAATCTGATTTTATAAATACTAAACTGCAAGAAGAATCTTTGGAAATGGTTTGAAATCAAAATTAAAAAAACAATTAAAACACTTGAAATTTGCAAAACTTGACAATTTGGTACTAACTGGAAAAAAATGTTAGAGATTGAAACTTGTTTTCAAATGTGATAAAAGTTACTTTTAAGAATCTATACTAAATTATTTTTGTTGAATAGATTTTATGAAATGCCAGCCTTTTCAGAGTTACTGAAAAAAGTACAAGCCTCTAAAGCGTTTTAAAAAAAAAAAAAAAATTTTCAATAACAATAGCTAAAATTTTCAGCCACGTAATTTTTCAGGATACTGGCACATTCAGTAAGATGAACTAGCTTTGTACAGACAGCTATAGAATGAACAGAAGAATATATTTTAAGAATCTGAGAATTAGGTATCCTTGTTTGCATATGTAGAAGCTAGTGTCTAACTTTCTGTTCTGCCTGGTACATAGCAAATCCTATTAAAAAAAAGAAAGAAAAAGGAGTGGGGCAGGGTGGCTAGAGAATTTAACATTTGAAATATTGATAGTGAGGAAGCTAGATTATTGGAACTATTTCTGAAATAATTTTAAGGCAAAAAACTCAAAAGATTAAAAACCTCTACTACATTATACAAAATGTAGCAGAAATACTTCCCACATAATGGTAAGACATTAATGGCAATGGTATCTCCATCTAGTAGTTTTACCATTATGTGGGAGGTATTTCTGCTACACACTGTACATTTGCATCAGAATGCTATAATTTCAGTGACTGTTGAGTGGATATTGAGTCTGGATAGAGATGAAAGGTACAGTAAAATTTGTTGCTATTAAATAGTAGGTATTATGTAAAAGTTTCCAGTGGAATTTTTACACAAGGCTAATAAATTTGGATTGCTATTTCTCATTTCCACATGATATGTCCATAAGAGACAGTTTCGGGTTAAAGTTCATAAGCTTCATTTAATGATAACTGAAGGATACACATGCTAAAACTAAGTTTAAACAAATATGGAAACAGAATTTGAAGTTTGAATGTTTTATGAATAAAAGTGAAAAATTAAAAATTGAAGGATCAATTTAAATTCATATGATAAAATAAATTTTTGATGCTTCAGCAAAAAAAAAAAAAATTATGCTGGGGTTGAAATTGTCATTGGGTGCAATGACAGTCATGAAAAAGGGCTATAGCTAGTACCATTTAATCCAATAATAATAAGAGACCGAGCAAGGTCAGAGGGGGTAAAAGGGCTGGACAATAAAATAGAAAAAAGAATTTTTAAGTCTGAATATTATTTTACTTCATTGAGATCCTAAAGTCTACTTGTCATTTACAAGTTTATATATAAATTGTTATTAACAGTATATTTTAAAAATATCTATTAGAAGAATTAAAAAGTGCGTAAGGTTTCTACAGAATCCAAGTTATGAAAATGTTGCAGATTATTAAAGACATACATGCCTTCCTTTATTGATAAATTAAGTTACAACAAACAAATCAATAAATTAATGTTATATTATTGATATTTAATTTCCCACCTCATGAATCATTAAAAATGATAAAAGTTGTTGAGATATGTTTTGAATAATAGTTAATCTGTAAAAGAATGCTACGTGCCTGTATTTAAAGAAAGTATTGCAAATTTCAAATGATAAGGATAAATTACTTTGCAAAATAAGCAAACATTGCACAATATGAAAACAAAAGAAATTCTTATCACTATAGAGTCCATGACATTCCTGTTCTGATTTTTAATATAACAAGGTTCTTCTTGTGAGTCCAGTCACTAAAGTATAACAGACGAGAAGAGACAAAAAAAAATTAGCAGTTGGTTTCATATATATATATATATATATATATATTGAAAGATCTAAAAATTGTCACAGGCCCTGGGAAGAGAGGTTAAATAATAATAATAATAATATTAAAACAAACAAAAGATTATATAAAAATAAAAAGGAAAAGTGCAGAATGTGTGAGAAAAGCATTAACGGACGAATCAGTGTCACTGAATGACAAGGGCTCCTGATGCATAACTAACAGATGAATCTCTCATGCTCTTCACCTGACTGGACTGGGCATATTTTATAAATTTCATTTTCATATTATTACCACTGGAGCTTCGTATGCTCTCAATTGCCTGAAAAAAAGAAAAAATAATTATTAAAACTATTAAAAACATGGAATATGTGAGAGTATGTACAAAAGAAAAATAAACATGTACGCTTTCAATTGCCTGGAAAAGAAATAATAGTAAAATATGAGAGAGAGAGATGAGTGCACACACGAGAGAGACAGAGTGCACACACGAGAGAGACAGAGTGCACACACGATCGGGAGACAGAGAGTGCACATGAGAAACAGTGAGCACGAGAGACAGAGAGAGATTGCACACAAGAGAGAGAGAGAAAAATAAACATGTTTATCAAAAGATATTAGCAATGGTGTGTGTTACTTTTTGAAATCCTAATATTGCAAATGTAGGTATTACATAAGTAGGTATACTGTAAGCATTAGTGGTTCTAGGATTCATTTAATTCATTAAAATCATTTTTAATAATTTTTATTTTTTAAAAAATATTAAAAATTAATGTTTTGCAAGTGAAGAGGAGTGTGTGAATGACTGGGGTAAATAGTTTGAACACTTGAGGAATTGATATTGTTATTATTGATGTTTATATAGTCAATACTATACCTGTCTATATTACAATATGTTTTGTGCACACATTTTGTTTTTCATTACTGTATACCTATGCAGAGTTAAGTAATCAATTGGTCTTGCTAATATAAATACACTTAGGTTAAAGTCTTTCAGTAACTACAGTGATACCTCGAGTTAGGTCATTTCAAAGATATGTTGGATTTTCTTAAAACTATTAGAAACATGAAAACACTAAAATAACAATAAACATATATAAAATCATATTTAAATTTAAAAATAATATTGTGTATAATATATATATGTGTGCATATATATATATATATATATATATATATATATATATATATATATATATATATATATATATATATATATATATATATATATTTAAAAAAAGCATCAAAAAGTAAAAAATTAGCATAATAAAGTATGTTCAGCAGATGTTCTTATTTCAAATTTCTGCTGATGGGTGGCACTTGTGCATTGCTTTCCTCTCCAACATTGATTTTGAATTCAGACTTGTTAACATCTGTGCTCTGCCATTGACATTCTTTCAATTACATTTCACTTGTGATTTAGAATTCATTTTTGCCAAAGAAAAGTCCCAGTGCAAGTGCTAATGCTAAGCATAAGGCATTGTTGGAAGATAAGGTGGAAATTAATTATTTTATTCAGAATATTGTATGTACATATAAATACTGTAATGGGAAGTACTTATTTGCAGTTTATAGTGTGGTTATTTTGACTAGTTGTTTTTCAACTTAAGTCATGACACTTGGAACCAATTAATGACATCGAGTGAGGTATACCTGTACTAGGAACTCAAATATGACAAAGAAACACTGTCAATAGTTTAATCATTACAATTCTTTTTCTCTTTCTTGAAAAATGATTTCAATGAGGCATCATCAATTATGTGCAAGTCATACATAGCTAAGTTTTCCTGAAATGAATTTAAATATTTTGAGTAGAAAGAGCAGATACTCAATATTAGTCATATAAAAGTGTAATTTATTTAATTTATTAATGCTTCCACAGATTGCCACCAAGATCAATGCATAAAAATGATAATAAAATAAGCTCAGAGTTTATCTACTTCAGAAATTCTGTATGAAAATTTAGAAAGATTTTTGTTGACTAATGGGCTTACAGCCATATCACACTGAAACACTGGTTTTTGTACGATCACTGAAGTTAAGCAACATTGAGTCTGGTCAGTATCTAGATGGGTGACTGTTTGGGAATACCAGGTGCTGTAAGCTTGGATGTATGGCTTGTGTAATGAATAACAGCTTGGAAATTGGAGAGCTGAGTTCAAATTCCAGTCAAGATAGTTATATCCATTTACATGCAAATACCGTTGGGAAAGGTATGAAACCACCTCCTCTAGCTGTGTGATAATTAGTAGGACTTGTAAGAGTAAATCTTTATGATATACAAAAAATTCTTATAATCTAAAAATGTTTTCCAGCCTTAAATAACCAGTAAAAGATTGATAACTATAAAAAAGCAACTCAATCTACAGGTTGTTCCAAAAGTCTGTGTCAAATTACAACATTGTATATCTTAATACCCATTGGGGATACCAAAACACAATTTATTTTTCCTGAAAGCTAATATTTCCACATTTCTATACATGTTTTTACAGGTGTTCAATGTTAGCACTGCAGGTTATACAACACACATCCAAACAATAACCCAATTCTTGCCAAACGTGACCAAGCATAGCATTGTTGATGGTTGCCAAGGTTTCAGTTTTTGTGTCTTCAGATTATCCATGTCTCTGGAAAGTGGAGCTACATACATGAGGCCTTTCACATAAACCCAGAGGAAGAAGTCACATGGTGTGAAGTCTAGATACCTAGATGGTCATCGCAGGAACACAGGATCAGTCTGTCTGGAACATCTGACCAATTTGTCAGGCAGAGTGGTGTTCAGATACTGTCTAACTTAAATTGATTAAATTAAAATTAAATTAACAGAAGAAAATTTGACACTTTTAGCTTTGAAATGATACCAGTTCAATCATGCTACCAGTTCCATTGACTTTTGAAACACCCTGTAATCTAACTGGTTTCTTTCGCTTTTAAATTTTTCTTTGCATTTTTACTGATTCTTCAAACATTCTTTTTAGTGTTCTTGCATAAATAAAACGTTTTATAGAAAATTAATGCAAATATTTGTTTCAACGTACCCAAGATAGTTCACTTATTCATTCAAGTCTGCAAAGGAATGTGGGGCCACAACTTTCAACATATTTCTTCTATGGTTTGTTTTTTTTATGAAATGGACTGGCACAAATTTTTTTTTTTTTTTTTTTTAAATTGAATTTATCCCCAAGCATGGCAGTAAAGCCACTAAGACACAAGGGGTTATTGGGTGTGAAAGAACTAGACAACAGAAAACATTATAAAGGAGGAAGAACAATAGAAAAGTAATCAGGAAGACAGTAGATAAAGATTAACATTGTAGTTAAATTTTTGAAGATCAAAGTTGTCCAGAAAGTTGGAAGAAAGTTCCAGAAGTGTGGTTGGTTGGTTTGTTTTGTTTTATGGCATATCAACCTCAATGGGTTATTTAATGCAGACAAAATTTTTATTGCTAGTAATATTTTGTTTTGTCAAAAATCCATTTCTGGTAATATTTTTTTCCTCAAAAATGAATAGCTGGTAATATTTTTTTTCTTCAAAAATTTATTGCTGGTAATAATTTTTAAAAAAGTATTTCTGGTATTAAAACCTATTTATAATAATTGATCCTTGATCATTTGATATTCCATTGGATTATATTTTGTTCACTTAAATTTAATTTTGAGATTTGTGAGATTTTTTTTTTTTTTTTAAGGTTTGCTTGTTTGTGGAGTTTTATTTTCAATTTCCATTTCCTCAAATTTGTTTTGATAAGCATTTTGTTTTTTAATAGCAATATCTTTTATTTTATTTTCAATTATGTCTTTGTTAATATCTGGAGGTCGTATCAGTGATCTGTGTCACTTTTCATTTGTGGATTCAGTCATCTTAGAATTTTCTAAGGGCATTTCTACATTGATATCATTATTTAATTTTCTTTTCATACAAAACTCAGTTTGTTTTATTTCTGTTAAATACATTCTTTTAAGATTTTGGAATTTTGGCCATTCATTTGTATTCAAAATTTATTAATATTTCTATAAGTTTTTATACTTATCTATTGGAGCAAGGTTCTGGGGCTTTTGATTTGCCTTTTGTACTATATTAGCATAGGTTTTTTGTTCCCATATAGCTTTCAACAATTTTTCTGGCTTCTAGGTAAGGTATATTTTTTGTGTGTTTTGCATACATTATTTCCTTTTCTCTCTTGTAGATATCACAGGTCCTTGAAAAGGCAGGGTGTTCTTTGTGGCAGTTAGCACATTTCACATTACTGCATTCATTCTCTGTGTGATTTGGATCACATTCACCAGACTTCCCACACACTTGGTGTCCTATGCAAATGTTTTTGTGGTGTCCAAATTTTTGACATATGAAAGACTGTGGGGGGAGCTGGTATAAATTGCTCTACTCTTTCTATAGTATAGCCAATCCTGATTTCTTTTGCTATTACGGGTTTTTCAAACGTTAGTATATATGTATGGGTCTCTATAATATCATTATTTCTTCGAATAGATATTCTCTTATATTCATTTACACCCATTTTTTTTTTAATGCCCTTTCAATTTCTTCTTATGTTGCTAATTGTTATAGAGTAGTTTCACAGTGGAGGCTTGTATTTCACTAAGTCGGTCCTAAAAAGGTTCGACGTACAAAACGTTAGGAAATTGATATAATAGTTAATGACGCAGCAATCTAGTTGTGGTGGCTGATACTTTAATGTCCGACATCGACTGACTGACCAACTCACTGAGTTCACTGGCGACTGCTACTACTACTACTTATTATAGGTGAGAGAGTCTATTAACAATAGAATAGGTGTGTTCCAGTATTACACTAATGAAAGTTTGCGGCTTCTTATAACCCCTTTTAAAGTGTTTAATTTTTCATGTAGATATGCTCTATATTTGATATGGCTAAATTTATCCAACTTGAGTAAATTTTCCGCATGTTTTTTTTTGTTTCAACTTCCACTAGCAAATTACTATTTCGAAGTTTTTTTTGTTTTTTTGGATTCAAAAACCTGTAATGCCAGATTTTTTATCTTTCTTTTGAAACCTATATATAATACCAGGTATTATTGCAAAGTATCTGTTCTTCAGCTGCATACACATGCATGCAAAGTGTTACACAAAAATTTAGAGAATCTGAACAGTGCACACAAACTGATTACAGTACAGACTTTTACCAGTACAATACTTCCTCGACTATCTGGACACCTTTGAATGAAAATGTTTGGATAATTCAAAATTCCAAGAAACTGAATTATCAAAAAAGAACAGAGGAAAAAGTAATATTCTGAAAGAAATTTAATGTTTAAATAATCAAATAACATTTTGAAATGCTTTGTTCAAAGGTTTCGACCAGTTTATTTTTTTTTTCCATGAAAAAAAAAAAAAAAAAGTGTCATTTTTTGTCTGTTTCTGGTTGGCCTCACATTTTTCTGCCATAAAAAAAAGGGTTAAGTCAGATGCATTTGTAAAAGTAGCTTCTAGTTGAAAATACAACTGACTTAAACATTTGTCAAATATAATCAGTGCTTTGGTGTTTGAAATTGGGCATTAGGGTTATTGAATTTCAATATAGGCAACATCATCATCCTCCTCTCCAACATATTCTGATGGGTTATAAATTTAACAATATTATGTCACAAACGTTTAATTTCTTCTCAACAGATATCGCTATCCTTTTTGGTCTTATCATTTGAATTCGAGGCCATTTCAATTTCAAAGCGAAAGATCACAAAGTATAACAAAATGACTTGTGTTAGGAAGAATGAGCTGTCTTGTCACAGAGAAAATATTACCACAAATATTTATTTCACATCGACATTCAGAAATCAGGCAAAGAAGTACTTTATCTTTTGTGAGTATGCAAATAATATTTTGAAGTAGACGGTGGAAACTAGCTGCACAGGTAAGTAATTTCTTTTTTCCCCCTGATAATTCATTTGGTTTTTCTTGAAAGTAGAAAAGATAAAAAAAAATAACCTGCCCTGTTGAAGATTACTTACATGAAGAAGAACCATAATAGGATGTCTACCACAGATGGTATTTTGATATTGCAATAGGTAGTCTGAAAAGGCCTTGGCATCCATATTTTCTATAATATTCATGCCCTGAAATGAACAACATATCAGTCAGGTTAGTATTAAAAAATTAAATAAAAATTAAGGTGTATAAATTTTATACAAGAGAAACAACTCTGTAATCTTCAGCTGTTCCACAAGCACTGCAAAGAATTCTAAAAAAAAAAAAAAAAAAAAAAAACTTGGGCTTTTATAAACCACATTATAATGGCTATGATAACCTTGAATTAAACAATTAGCCTTCCATTAGTACCGTGGGGTGTTTTTTGAACAACCTACAAAATGTTTTTGCTTAATATTTCACAAGTGGCAAGTTAAAATTTTCATAAGTAGCTTTCTGGATAGTTCTTTCCAACCCATTGCAGGTTATTTAAAGCCAGAAAATATTTTTAGATTGTAAGAATTTCTGGGGAGATAATAATGGTTTAGTGATAAAAGCCTTACAAAGAGGTGGATTCATACCTTACCCAAGGGTATTCACATAACAAACACAATGGGAATTGGAACTCAGCTCTCCAATTAATTATGAATGATTATCCGTTACACCACCTGCACATCCAAGCTTAAAACAGTCACCAATCTAGGTACTGACCAGGCTCAACATTATGAAACTAAAAGGAGTTTCTGGTTTTAGTCATAATAATTGTGTAAGTAACAAGCAGTTTTTATTTGTTTACTAAAAATAAAATCTTATTTTTGCAGGTTTGAACTTTTGAAAGTAACAAAATTAATTTTTAATATTTCTGCTTTAATTTGATATTTTAAAGTAAAATGTTTTGTTTTTATTTTCTCATTTTTATTTGTCCCCTAAAAACCATAAAAAAATACACAGGACAATCTATAACAAGAAAATTAAAAATTAAATGATATTATATCTTAACATTTTAAACAGAGTGTTTGAAAGATCCATGGGTACTGATGCTATAATTCCCCACAGTACTAACAAAGGGCTAAACAAATGCACATAGTCAAGATATCCCCCCTAGTTACAAAGAATTGGCTAAAATAAATACTACCAAATATTATCTTACAGTATGCAAAAGTATAAAGCTGTGCCTTTTTAAAACATAAATTATAAACATTGGGCTGAGAAGTATGTTTTCTTTCATGTAATGTATAACTTATTGTGCACATATATGAAGGAAAAAAATCTCAGATATTTCTAAAGACAACAAATTTCATGAAAATCTAAAATTACTATCCTGCAGTTATGAACACTTGGCCAGATAGAATTGACTAACTGCAAAATACTTGAAGAATTTTGCTTGCGTTTTTGAAATATTACTGCATTAGGAGTCAAAGTCCTTTACAGAAGCAATATTCTTCATATTATACAAAATCTGGAAAATTAATCAACATTAATTGATCTAATATGAAGCCAGTTTTATAATAAACGTAAGTAGTGAAACATTTCAATTTTATTTACCAGTGAGTTAAACATTTTGAGAAAGAATGGTTCATAGAGTAACTTGACTGATAAAAATGAAAAATGTACACAAAGAGTAAAAGACAATGCTAAAAATATATTCAGAATTAGAGGTTTATGCTTTCATGGCCATTAAAATCAAAATTCAGTTTGATTCCTAATATCATAACACAAACATAAAAACATGAATATATGGCCTCATACAGAGGATATTTACTTGAACCAAGCCAAGCAAGGCATAAATTCATATAAAGCATGCAAAGATAGTATGCTTTCTGTTCAACAAGATTATTCAGTCTATATAAACATCTTACAGGGTTTGAAAAAAAAAGTCCTTAGTTAATCATGAAAATAGTTTACACAGAAGAAATAATGACAGTCCTGATTTGTCTTCTATATTAATGTCAATATATTGTACAATATTAAATTTGAATTCTTGAGCATTTCTAAAGTATTAATATTTATTTATTAAACACCCAACCCTGCTTCATGAATGACAATATTAATAATGATAGAAATTGTATTTAGTACCTTGAGTTATCATCACTTTCAACAGTGGGCTCTGAACAGTAGCCTCAAACCATACTGAATATTCATTGCCTATAGCAAGCTTCAGGGTCTAGAAACATCAAAAGTACCCTTCCATCTCATTTTGGAGCATCTTTAACATCTGTCCCCTTTTGAATTAATCTAACTGGATCCAATAGACAGCTGGAGAGCAGGTAGGTAGATAGGTAAGTAGAAAGATGACCAGATCTTTCTGTATAAGAAAAGCTTTTTTTTTTTTCTAGCTCTCCATGTGAGCATAAGTGTGTGTATATCTTTCTGGGGTCACATCATAAATGCAGATGCAAGGTAGGGTTCTCTAGAATCCAGCTAACTTTGTTCAAGCGAGCAATGGTAACACGATGATAAGATTATGTGTTCTTCATTTGCCTGACACTTCAACTGGTAGTGAACAGCATCTGGAACAGATAAACGATTACACCTGTTGACAGGTAAGTGCATAAACAAAGGGGAGTTTAGGACAATATTACGCTTTGATTTTTTTTTTTTTCTAAAAAGTTTTGGTCAAAGTTTACAAGTTTTTTAAAAACATTTTACCACAGAAATGCACTGCAAGTGATTTGATATAGATGCTTTTGACCTATTTTTTGTAAGACTTTTCACTCTACATATTAATAAAAAAAAAAAAAAAGAGATAAGAAAAACTGGTCAATGGTCACCTATAACAAATATTTATATTTTAATTTTTTTTCTTTAACAAAATGCCCAGTGAGCAGTTTCAGAATTTAAAAGGAGTCATAGAAATTTTTTTCATTATATTTTAGTTTATATTTTTCAAGAAATTTTTATTTGAAATAATTCTTAGCTTTCAAAGATATATTCTAAAATTTTAAAAAACCATTTACCCCTACAGGTATTATAAAGATAGAATGAAGTGTAATAGTGAAAGTACATATTTATATAAATATTCCATAAGCTTCAGTAAGAATCAAACTTATTAAGGATAGCTCATAAAATTAACCTTTAAATAAGGGGGAAAAGCCAAGCTTAAAGCATAAGCATTGAATGTATTAAAAAAAAGAAATTATCAAGTCTCTATAAAGTTTAATTTTTTAAATACATTTTCAAATATTAATAAGCCTGGTTATGGTTGCACTTTACATATTTTATATCTATATTATTAAATTCAATAATAATTTACAAAAAAAAAAAAAAAAAAAAAAAAAAGATTATTTGAACTGATTACCATTTTTGAATATTAGGGATTTTTTTTTTTTTAACTGTTCTGAACTTTTTTAAAGTAAAATTAGATGTTTCCTACAATTAAAGTTGAATTTTACAAACAAATTACTTTTAAGCAACTATCAATAGGTTTAGTAACTTACTAACAAAAGAAATTACCCCACCACCACCACCAAAAAACAAAACAAAATCTCTCAGGTATTATTTTCAGAGTTCAATGCTTTTCTTTCATATTGTATTTATTGATATATATATATATATATATTTTACTTGCAGGTTGCAGTAAGAATTTTAAAAAGTTATTTTCTTTTTTGTAGATCTTTTAAATAATTTTTTATAAACTTATGAAAACATGAATGCATTGAGAAAAAAAAGCCAATGCCTTAATGTTTTGTAAAGTAGAAAAAATTTGATATAGTTTATCTGGTCACAGATCTTGTACCTTATTAATGTTTATTGAAATATTTCTACATTAGATAATTTTAACAAGACTTCCTGATTTTGAGATATTTTACACACATTGTAAAACTTTTTTTATGTATTTACCAGGAGAACCATTTTATTTATCATGAACATTATTTCTATATATTAACGTTGGATACTATGTTTAATATATATATATATATATATATATATATATATATAGAATAAAGATGATTGAGTATAAATTTTGTTTGAGTTGCATCAAGACCAATGCAAAAGAGGTACTACCTTGTGTTGTACCAATAAAGATTAGAAAGTAAGATTTAACTGAAAATTTCAACTATCTACAACTTATAACAAATTTGATAAAAACTAATTTGGCAATATTTTGATTTTTATGTCTGTTCATTTAGGAGGGAAGAAGCCTATAATGACATGGCTTTTGTAAAGAAAAAGATTTAAATGCAAATTATTATACCTGGTTATGACACAATAAGACAATTTGAGTGTATCCTTATTACAAATAGAATTCTTATTTTTTTTGTTACATACCATTTTATCCAGGTATTCTATAGACTGCCAGATCTCTCCATAAGATTCATCATAAAATGTGTAGTTGAACCGGCGACCTATAAACAAACATCAAAATGAGATTTACAAATTTGTATAATTGAAAACTTATTAAAAAAATATAAATTAAAATTGCCTTATACAAAGCAAGAAAATATTTATAAACATATTTATGTAAGGAGTTGAAATATTGATAAGATTATTACATTTCTGTATATCAACTAAATATATATATATATATATATATATATATATATATATATATATATGCTTGAAACTGAAACATATAAGTACCATAAAATATTCTTAAAAAAAAAAAAAAAAATTGATGAAAAGAATGTACAGAATTTAATAAAAACAAAATTTTATCATCAAAATTTTTATATTAAGAGGAAAGACCAAAGGATTTTTTTTTGATGTAAAATTATTTTTTAAAAATTTTTTAGAACCTTTGAAATTTTGGATAAAAATTTTGTTTTCCTGGTGTCAACTTGGGACCATAAATTAGTTTTGAAAAGTTGAGCATTGTTGTGCAATGAAAAATATACTGACTTGGAAATTCTTACAAAAATCAAATAATTGTCAGATTTTAATGAAACTTTCAGGACTCATTCATAAATGAATTAAATCATTTTTGAAATGTGTGCATTTTAGAAAATTTTGATAAATAATCAAATAATTCTTTATGTTTCAGAAAATTATATTTTATTTTTGAAAGATTTTTTTTAATAAGAGAGAATTATGTTGACAGATTTGTCAATATGAATGATTTTACTGATAATTGAGAAAAAAAAAAAAAGATCATTCCTGTTGTGGAGTAGCTGAACATTCCCACAAGATGGACAGGACTAAAACTATTTAAACAGCACTCTCTCTACTGAGCAAGAGGTGTTAACGATTAACTGTTTATTAGATTAGTTGGTGTTCTCAACCATGTACCATGTGATTCTCTGAATAATTCTTATTTTCTATGTGTCTGTGTCAACCTTTCCTATTTACGATACAAATCCAATCAATTTAAATGTAGTTTGATTATTGAAAATATTAAATTTAATCAAGTAACTTGAAATTAAAACTAAAATAAAAAAAAAATTGATTTTTAAAATGTAGTTTTATTTGCAGACACACACACACACACACACATGTGCATGTGTGTATGTATGTGCATGTGTGTCCATGTTTGAAACAAACATTTTGGTGGGATTGTTTCTGGAAGCACATGTACAAACATTGTGATAACAACAACAAAGATGGAGACAATAGTCTGTGAAGAATTATGAGAAATTAGCAGATTATTTAAAAATGTCATGTTTGAAACTGATTTTGTCATTGATATATGTTACTGTTTTTTTTTTTCAATTTTTAAAATTCTTTTTTATTTTAAGATTTTGGTGAGGTTGTTTCCAGAAGCACATCAACAAACATTGGTGTATACTAATTATTTATCTTAAATGAAGAATTAATAAACAGATATTTTTATTAATCTATTTAAATTTCAAATCCTCCCCTGTAACATTAACTATTCTTCAGAAATTCTTGAAGAATTTACCCTTCTGGAAGAAGCATTTTTTATTGGAAAATCTGTTCTTTAAAATGCATATATATGTTTGCTTGCTTAATGACAATTGTTTGTATATAAATAAAAACAAAAAAAAACATCAGACAATTCTTATTCAGATATTTTTTTAAAAATTTTGTTTATATATATATAAAATGGACTCTCCCATTGGTTTTGACGTATGACGATACGAGAACTTAACCAATTGATTCAGTTATGAATTTTGTGTGATAATCAAGACCTGCAAGTGATTTACAAAGACCAAATATGGAGCAAGAGTGAGAATTGTGGGACGAGGTCACTGTTAGATTGGCTGACCTTTTAGATCTTGCTCCCGCTTCTTGACAATTCAGACTAGCAGGTTGAAAACTGCTGAGTCCACTAAAACATGTTAATCACCACTCTACCTGCTCTAAGGCTAAGAGCTCGAGGGTGTTATGAGGTATATTGACAGCTATATTGACTGATATATATAGTTGTGGTCAGAATTATTCACCACCCACTTCCATAATTACAAATAAATCTGTAATACCTCAAATTTTCATGGAAACTTTATGTGCATTTTTTCACAAATGATGAAATGCATTTGAAAGAATGTGCAGTGATGCCTATAACAAGATTTTCATTTTAATGTCAATCAATAATACACAACCATTTAAGATAGAACAAAATTATTGGCCTTCTTGTCTCAATAATCAATTGTGTAAGCTTTTTTCTTGATTATTGCCTTTAATTGTTTTTGACAGTTCCTTACAAGATCACCATACAAACTGATAGGAATTTTGCTCTATTCTTTCTTAGCAATAGTTTATAGTTTCTCCACATTCTTCAGGGGCTTCTTTCTTTTACTTTTTTTCTACAAATATACCCATAAATTTTCAATGGGGTTTAGGTCAGGACTTTTTTGTGGGGTATGCCAATACCTTAATTTTGCTGCCATCTAAGTGTTTTGTAACAATACATGCTGTGTGTTTTAGGTCACTGCCAGGTTGGAATGTCCAGTGACGTCCCAAAGACAGCTTTCATGCACTTTGTTTTATACTATTTTTTTAAGAATAGCCAGATACTGTTCTTTATCCATGATACCCTGTACTCTTGCTAGGCCTCCTGGTCTAGAAGCAGCAAAACATCCTCACAGTAGAAGGCTCCCACATTCATGCTTAATTGTGGGGAAGGTACTACCTGGTTTGTAAGATTCATTCACTTTCCTACATACATAACGAGAGTTTATGTGACTAAATAATTCAAGTTTGGTTTCATCTGACCATAAATCAGTGTTCTAATATTTACTCTCATGTTCTAGATGGCTTCTAGCATAAGCTAATCTGTATTTTAGGTGTTTAGCCTTAAGCAAGTGAGTTTTCCTTGGATGACAAGCTTGAAGTCCTGCTTGATGAAAACATATAGTGACTGTCTTTGTTGATACATTCAACCCTGATGTCTTTACATCATTGACAATGTCCTTTGTTGTTACATGAGGATTTTCTGAGACATCTCTAACAATTTTCCTTTAGGAATTTCTCAGGAATTAACCACTTTTTGCCAGTTCTTAATTTATTTTCAACACAATGAGTCTCATTGTACTTCTTGATAATGCTACGAATTTTCAATCTAGGAATATTTAAACATTTGGAAAGTGTTGTATATCCATCACCTTATTTGTATGTATCAACTAGCTTTATTCAAAGCTTCAAGTTCAGCCATTTTCACCATAGTTGCAGAATGAATGAGTTATCACGGTATGTGACACTCACATATTGTCTTCTTCATTACCTTTTAGAATGTTATATAATCAGGTCATTACTCATTCATTTTCAAATGGTGTTTGTATTAAATGTCAACTTAAGATAAAAAAAAAACATTACTATTGTCATGGACCAATATTATTTCATTATTTTGGTTTAATAATTTTGGATGGCACTAATTTTTAGAAAATCTATAACTATGAATATAATACATCCAAACTTCCAAAAATTTCACAAATTATTCAAAACTAAATACAGAATCAACTATTTATGGTAATTTCAGTATTCAGTGAGGGCAAATAATTTTGTTTGTCTATATATATATATATATATATATATTTGAACGCAAATATAAATGACAAGAGCACCATTTCAAACAGTACCAATAATTCTTCAAAGTTATAGATTAATTTATGCTGCATCACTTTTATAAACAGAGAGCACCCTTCTAAATCTAATCAATATTTTTTGAATCTAACAAATGTCAAGATCAAAAGAAAGTCTGAAGAATACTCATCCAAAAAAAAAAAAAAAAAAAAAAAAAATTTTCCTTTAAGAAAAATATTTTTTTGGTTACATAGGTCATGAAGAAAGAAAAAAAAATGTCAACACAAAACTTACCCCAATGGCAGAAATCGGATGAGATAACAAATAGATTTTCAGGGTTTAAAAGATAATTGCCAAATATCTTTCCATAAACTTTTTCCTTTTCTCCTTGTAACGATCCCACAAGAACTGGTACAATAGTAAACTGGCCTTTTTTACTAGATAAAAAAAAAAAAAAATACCAAAAGAAAAAAAAAAATTAATAGAAAATAAAATATATTAAATACTAATATGAAAAACTGTAATATTTCTAATGACAAATTCTTCTTTATATCCTCTGTCCCCCTCATGACTCTCCACAATTTCCTGTCTCTTGTTGCTCTTTGTCTTTTTGTTATTTCTCCTAAATCCTGTTTCACCATCCATTTAGTCAAACCCACTATGATGTGTTATTTTCCTGTCTCTCATGCCTTCAATCTGTCTTGTGAGTATCAGATTTTCCAAGTCCTCCTTCCTCATTATGGGCTCCAGAAACTTATTGCTAAGAAGGATATGACAACACATCTATAAAATTCAAACACACTATTGTTCAGGGATCAGAGTTAGCTTCAGTGGCAGAGTAAACTTTTTGTATAGCAAATGAAGTTACATACAGAATGATAAAGGTTAAGACTAATTGAATGAAATTGAAATGGACATCTGTGCTGGAGGGTTCATTCCTTTTTTTGTCTGGCAACAAACCCAACATAACAGGGCCCTTTTAAGCCATTTTTTCTGATTCCTATATTTAAATTGATTATATTTTCTAATAAATGTAGTATTTTAAATAGGTAAACAAATTAGGTTTGTCATTTGTTGTACTGAAATAGTACTAAATAAAAATAATTAAGCAACTCAAAATTTCATGACTAAAATTATTAGGGTATATGATAGCAGAAATAATAAAATTATTTGAAACTGATATATTTTAAATACAAATTTCTAGCTGACACAGGCAGTACATATGACGTTTGTATGGAAAGTCAACATTTTCATTATCTCAAGAACCAGTTGTGTAGCCTTGATGTAACTTGGCAACTGATCAGAAATGAAGCTACTATACATGCATAAACAGAAACTCTCACATATTGTGCAGCATTTAAGCTAGCTCTCACAGAGGGAGCTTGATTGGGCCTTCATCACAATAGGTAGAGAAGAGTATATGCAATAGGTAATAATAAACTACAGAAGAACTCAAATTGATTACTACATTTAAGTATTGCATTAATATTTAAGCTTACCTTTTAAAAGTTCAATGATAATTCTTCTCTACCACCACTTAATTTAAAGACAATTTGATGTACGCAGGTCCTTAACTTCCATATAATTATTTTTATTTCATAGGTGACTTTCACTGGATTTTGCAATTAATTTCAATTATTCCCAAATTTAATTCCAAGTTATAAAATTTGTTACTGCAAAAAAAAAAAAAAAAAAAAAAAAAATCACAGTAATGAAAATTTGGGAATACAAAATTTCAGGATTGCGTGTCCAGACCTAGCCCAGAATGTTTTTAATTTGCCCAAGGAGTTGGCCTGATTCCCTAGGAGTAAAGTTGAAAAAGTAAGAGTTCAGTCAGGGAAAGGAACATTCACCAGCTGGGACACCTTCATCTAAGTATTGCTGCATGTTGAAGAGGAAAAGAGAGGATATGTTTTTTTTATTTTATAGAACTTAAACAACACCACCTAACAGGCATTTTGATGAAGCCAAGTGGAGTAAACTACACTTTAGAATTTAAGAAAAATTTTTTGGAACTTTCAATATTTAGAGGATTTAAAATAAATTATCAAAACAAATCCATATACAAAATCTAAGAAACCAATTACACAAGCCATTCACAAGTTAGAATAACCTAAAAAGATGGATTTGGCAAGTGGCTAAGGAATTCTCCTAACCTTAATCCTGCCATCACAAAGGAATGTATTGAAAACATCTTAGGGTCAAAGAACAGCACCCTTTGTCAGCATTTGGCATGGATAATGGACCAAGTTTTTGATGAATACAACAAATGTTCAGAAAACTTTATTCACTTAAAACCAAGTTGGATTTCATTTAGACATTTGATAGAAAATCAACTAAAAATAATACTGCTGATTTGGTATTACAGAGAAACCCGGATATAAGAGAAACCCGGATATAAGAGAAACCCGGATATAAGAGAAACCCGGATATAAGAGAAACCCGGATATAAGAGAGATTTTCTCTGGTCCCAAATTAGAACCTGTGTTAATGTATATAAAATAGACCAAACCCGGATATAAGAGAGATTTTCTCTGGTCCCAAATTAGAACCTGTGTTAATGTATATAAAATAGACCAAACCCGGATATAAGAGAAACCCGGATATAAGAGAGATTTTCTCTGGTCCCAAATTAGAACCTGTGTTAATGTATATAAAATAGACCAAACCCGGATATAAGAGAGATTTTCTCTGGTCCCAAATTAGAACCTGTGTTAATGTATATAAAATAGACCAAACCCGGATAAAAGAGAAACCCGGATATAAGAGAGATTTTCTCTGGTCCCAAATTAGAACCTGTGTTAATGTATATAAAATAGACCAAACCCGGATAAAAGAGAAACACGGATATAAGAGACTTCTTCTCCGGTCCCGACAACTCTCTCATATCCAGGTTACACTGTACATGAAAAAGTTTTCTGCAGACTGATGTTACCAGTCAATGGACATGACCAAAAATTCCAGTCATTTTACAAGTTAATATATTAAGTAGCAAAAATATGTTAATAATCAACAAAATTGCCAAAAGACATGTTTATAATACTTTTTAAAAGCTTGATACTAAAATATATTTACACATATGTAAAAATCAATGTGTGTGTGTGTGTGTGTGTGTGTGTGTGTGTGTGTGTGCACACTGATTCTAGGGTAAATTATGCAACACTTTTTAGATATTTCTATACTTTGTGTGTATGTGTGTATCATTTAATAAAGTAAATAATGAAGACTTTATAATATATAAGAAAATTGCAGCCAAAAATAAAGTCAACGAGTATAGCAGCAAAGTTTTAAAATGTTTGAAGCAGAAAAGTGTTATACAAACAAAAAAAAAAACACTAAATTAAAATGCTACAATTAAAAAAAATCTTTAAAAATAAATCACACAAGTTACCTCCCTTGCATAGCATCGAAAAATATTTTGAATTTATAGTGTTAATGCATAACACATCCATATATATGCAGCCCATGAAGATGCTCTCAGACGAGATTGAAAGTACTTGGAAAATAATAATTATTTGAAAGAAAATTTTGGAACATTTCTTGATCTATTTTTTACAGCCACCAAGAAATTCGTAGACATGAAACGATTAAAACTAAAATAAATAGATATAATATGTCGAAATTATTTAACCAAACATGCTGGAATGAAAATATACTGTGTAAATATATATGAGATGATGATATATATTTTTATATATCAAGAACATTATTGGGGAAATAGTATGACAAAGTGGAAAAAGTTTACTTGTGATATCATCCTTCAGGACTCCATTGGACTAAATTTTGTTATGTTGGTAGGACTACACATGCGCACGACAGAGGGATGCTGGGAATTTAAATTTTTTTTTTATTTTTTATCTAGTCCAATTCATAGCTGGTGCTACCACCCAAGATAAGAGTCCAGAGAGTGCCCTAATTGCAAGGTCATCTACAGTAAATTTGCACCATGGCCCTTACACTCACCATTCCTAGCAGATCTTCTAATATCACTTATAAATGTGATGGAAAGAAAAAGACTCAAAAATGAATTTGTTAGATATATATATATATATATATATATATATATATATATATATATGTATATAAAACCCAAAATACCCAGCATCCCTCTGTCAAGTGCATGTGTAATCCTACCAACATAACAAAATTTAGTCCGATGAAGTACTGAAGAACGAAATGTGTCACAAGTAAACTTTTTGACTGTCATACAATTTCCCATATATATATATATATATATATATACACACATTATACATATATATATATCATATATATATTTTCAAGCACATTTGGTTGAATAATCTAATTACAATTTTTAATAAGAATTTACATAAATTAAGTTACCTCCCTTACATAGTAAATTTTTCGAATTTTACAGCATTCATGCTCACATATTCATTACTTACATTTATTCTTTGTCTTAGTAAATTCACCACTGAAGACAACCTTGGATGAGATTGAAAGTACTTGGGAAAATAAAAATCATATGGAAAATTACGGTTTTCTTCTTGATCAATTCTGTACAGATACTAAGAAATTGATTAATGAACTTGAGAGTATTAAAATAAAAATAGACATAATATATCTAGATTATTCAATCAAAGACGCTTGAATGAAGATCATATATATATATATATATATATATATATATATATATACACACACACACACACGAGTAGTAAAATATTATTTTGGTTGGGTTGTTCAGCACTTCCTCACACACACACACTTCTAAAGAATCAATGGATTTTATTTTTAATCTGACATGTATGTGTGTATATGGTTGCAGGATATTTAATAGTTTCCAAAACAAAGTGGATACAAATATAAAATTTGTCATTTAGCTGACTGATGTTACCTTCAGCACTTCAACTCCAGAGTTTCATTGACAGATGCCCCCAGCAATGGCTCCATCCATTCTTCAGGAGATACCATCAACTGACTGCTTATTTTCTTGTTTTTTGTTATTTTTATATTAAAAAATAATTTATGCATTTTTTATTTTTCTAAGGTTGATTTTTCTTTTCTTCTTGGGATCAAATATAATGATAGGATAAAGGACAAATAGGAAATGTTTTTCAATATGTTTCATTTTTATAAAAGCTTTAGAGAACGAGATATGGAGAAAAAGAAATTCTGATATTTTTATTTTTGTGTTATTTGATTTTCATTGGTTAAGCAATGTTCATGTGTATAATTTATGGTATTCTGAATTCAAGGGGAGATGATGAGTTTCTTTGAAGCTCCCAAAAATTAATGGATTCTAAACTTAACTAAAAAAGATGTAAAGATTGCTTTATGTATGCAAGTGTATCATAATTCTAGTTTATCTAAGTAGGATTTGGATGGTAATGTAAATTTGTATCTAATAGGCATTATTTATGTTTGGTGGTTGTCCTCAAGTTGATCTGGGGATGATTTTATTTTTTTAAATTTTTTATTTGGGATCACTAATTTATTTTCAAATTTTGTAGATAGAGCATTAGAGGATAGGATTAGAAATTTTGTGTTGTTGATTTTAGAAGGGCTATTGGCTGCGTATAGTTTTTTTTTGCTTTTTTAAAATTTATGTACTTTGTATGCTGGTTTTCTAGTGCTGAGGATGGAATGATGTAGATAGTGAAGAAGCCTAAATGTTTTCTCAATGTATTTCTCTTCTTTACCTAGGTATTCTGGACTACATATTTTTAGGGCTTTGAGGTAAAATCCTATGACTAGTTCTGATTTTATATATCAAGGATGTACTCTCTAGGTAGGCAAGATAGGGTGTGCTTACCATGAATAAAATAGATCAGCAGCTACATTTTCCTTCTGTGGCACAATATGCACCTAATCTAACAAAATTATGAAGGTTATTCTGATTATTATGCATAAAATGCAAAATAAATCATTTTTTGTAGATTTACTACATAAAGGTCACAAGTTGCCTATTCTGAGTGTTTACTGATGGCATGTGACTGATTATAGTCAAGAAAATCCTTAAAAATCCATCTCTTATAATTTATTTCATGAATATATGTAAATATTCATCTCTTCAGACCAAAGGCTTTTTAGAAATAAAATCAATATTCCGAGAAATACAAAAAAGAAAGGAAAAGGAAAAATTTTATAAGAAAAAAGAAAGAAAAATTATTATATTGCTCTGTTACTTACATTGAGCTCTCTTTGGATTAATGTCCTCCTTGGAATTATCCCTACCAATTACCATTTGGTATTTTATATATATATATATATATATATATATATATATACACACAAAAGTCGACCAGTGAATAACTGGAGGCTAACGCTTTTAAAGCAAACAGTTTTTGTAAGTAACAAATAGAGCATAAATAGTAAACAAATAAATCAACTTAAAAAAATAAAAACAAACGGTATTTCAAAGTACAAGATTTTTTATATCACAAGGGAGAGAACAAATACTAGATTAATATTTGCATGAAATTTCTACCTGAATTATCTCCCTTAGACAATATTCTAATATGAGATTTATCATTTTGATGCAATATTCATATTTGTAGGTCAATTGCCATGTACCCAAAGTCATAGGTGCTTAGTAACGTATAGAACTTGCTCTTGCTTGTAGAGTTCCAGCAACACGACGTGGCCTCGATTCCATAAGTGGTCAGAAGGCCTCTGAAGAGATGTTGAGCCATGCCCTCTTGATAGCTGCCTGAAGTTCCCTTATATTTGTAAATTTAGGAACTTGCCTACACAGACTTCATCATATCTTATAAATGCTTGATTGTGTTGATATCAAGTGAATGTGGTGGTTGCAACATTTGTCAGAGTTCTCCAGAATTCTCAAGCTGATTCTGGGGTCTGATCTGGCTCTTGTAAAGGTAGAGAATAGCAGAAGTCAGGTTCTTACTGGAGCAGAGAACTGACCATTTTTCCAGCATCTTTAATAATGGATTGTATGTATGAGTTCCACTTGAGGGTCAGGTTGAGTTTTAGCCCCAATAATTGCTCAAGGCATGGAGCCTCCCAGTCACAAAATAGTGCAAGATAGTGGTTACAGGTTGAGCAAACTAACAGACCCCACCCATGCTATGGGAAAACACTCCTCCCTATTTAAAACTGTCACCAGCCATGTTGACAATTAGGGTCCATTGCCTCATGTGGTCTGTGCCATAATCTGAAACAATTGGAACTATAATTTATTGGACAACACCTCATATTACAAATCATTTAGAGCTCAGTGATGTCAAGATCCTAGTTGAGGAGCTCACAGTGAGACCTTGGTAGATCTTCTGCTCCAATTATCCCATGGAAGTTAAAGAACTCTGAACTGACCTGTTTATGCATCTAGTACCTCCATCATTGAATGTGGATGTGATTTAAGCCAGTATCACTTGTCCATTAATATAGTTTCAGCAGGAATACCTCTGTTTTCAACTATTAAAATTCTAGTCAGCTACTGTACTGTCCATGGTGAACAGTAATGTTTTTCATTAGATATTCCTGGTTCACACATAACACTATAGATAGATGAATGTCAAATGTCCCCACAATTTCAGAAATGTAATGTGCCATCCCTTTGTCACACATTATCATTTCCCATTCAAACTGAGAATTCATGTTGCCTTGTTACAAACAGCCTAGCTGGTATTAACACTCACTCAACATCAAGTTACAGTGGCGCTACCTACTATTACCTTTACATATTTTACATAACTTTTGGCCCATTACAGTATGACACTAAATATTGCACTGCATCTCATGTGCTAGTATTATGAGTAGAAACTTAAAAACCAAAGTCTCAAGCTAACGTTATACAGGCTTAGTATAAGATTAACAATGAGCAATTGTAGTCAACATTCTTCTATGTGCTATTCCCTTTGTAGGTCTTAGAAAGTTGTCTTTTTACTATATCGTCTAATTCCTGTTTTGCCAACCGTTTACATAAGATCATAGGTCATTTGCTACTATCAAGATGTCCTGTGAGTACAAATTCTCCAAGTCCTCTGAGAAATTTTAACTCTCTGACTCAAAGTATAGTTGTCCATTTTGTTTTCATTTTCCCTAAAACTTACTTGTGCAACAATTTCTCACACATCTTTAGAAGTAGATAAATTTCTTTTAAGTCCACTTAGTTATTCTGAGATTTGTAGAAATTTTGTCTAGTCCATGTTCAAGTAAACTTAAGTGTCAGTTTTTAGGGGATTTATGTCTACAGCTGTCTTTAAATTATTTTTTGTTGAATGTGATCACTGCCAAATGGACAAATCTGTGAGCATAGTGAAGTTGAGTGTACATGCAAATACAGCCAATATTGGATGTCAACATAGGTGCAGTAAATGATGGATGAGCAGAGAATGTAGTCACAAATGTTGTCACTCACATATCTGTAATAACATTGTCCAGCATTCACTCTTATATGAGAGGACAAATATTACATAACAATTCACCACTCTTTTCTTTGTTTCTAACAAAATTTACCCGATTTATAGCTTTAATCTTTTGGAAGGCATTTTTTGTTATTTCAATGCAACTTCAGATGTCAGTATCACATCTTTTGTCCTTTGGTAAAACACTTCCTAAATATATTTTGTAATGGCTTGATTTCTGGTGCCTCCAATTTGTAGTTCAAATTTTGGGCTGTTCCTATTTCTGGTTCATACTCTTTCCGCACCTTTTGAACAGAGTAGAGCCTTATCCCTTGTTTAGGATTAGGTTTCTAGTTCCTTCTCCTAAGGTATTTTCAATCTCTTTCACTCCTTGCATTTTAGTGGCAGTGTTGCCTTGCTTGGAGTGAAATGATTAGAAAGAAAATCCTGTAAAACAATTGTATAATTATATACTGGGTGTAACAGCAAAATTGTCCAAATCATGTAACAGCATGCAATAATTGTTCATCCCACAAAATGCTTAACGTCTAATAAAAGAAGAAGAAGAAGAAGAAAAAAAAACACTAAACTGAGTTTCTTTTTTTCTAGGTTTTCAGACAAGATGCTTAGCCATCTTGACACCATTTGTTGTAAGGATCACTGAAAAAATCTTTCAGTTATTCAGCTAGAAAAGGAACAGGTTAAAATCATTTTGTATTAGCCCCACTATGTCTTCCCGACTGAGCAATGGTGAGCGAAAAAAAGATCACTCAGGCCTTCAGTAATGATACCAACATGCACACTCTGACTTTCATCTTCAAAGTCCATTCAAGAACCATCAAGAGAACAGCTAACAAGTTTAAAAAACAAGAGGCAACAGTAGAGAGGAAAACTGGATCAAGAGGTTACAACAGCAAGAGGGAACATCATTTCAATTTAGAGCTAAATACATCCTTATTGTTCAAAGTAGAGTCCAATAGTGTTATAAAAACCTTGTAAAATTCCAATATCTTTAACCATTTCTACGATACAACAGTTCAAAGCTTAATCTAACAATTGAACAATTTTGCTGTTACACGATTTGGACAATTCTGCTGTTACACCTGGTATGTAAGAGAATAAAAAGCAAAGCTTACCTTTCCATCACTTTAGCTATAAAAGGTAGATGCATTTCTATGCTATGTTCCTCTTCATCGGTTTCACGACTCATTACTTCTAAATGTCCAGTAGCTAAAAGTTCTTGATATACTGAAAAATACAAAAAAATAATGTTTTCGCAAATAAAGCTATATACAAAAACTCAAAAATGAACATAATATTTAAGCCTTTTCTCCTAAAATGAAATATCCTGAAACAGAGTTACATTTTTAATCATTGCAAATCTAATTGTTATTGCTTTATAAAGAGCTATTTACACTATTTAAATCCTTCAGACTTTTGTCCTAATCTTTGTCATTTTTCACGTTTCAGCATTGTACACTCCGAACTTCTTCAGGTGATATATATTGGAATTTTGAACTGAACTGTGGACCATGGGGGGTACATTGTTCTAATCCCATGTGCCATGCATTTTTTTTTTTTTTTTTTTTTGATATCTCAGTTTTAGTTAATTACCTTTAGTAACTCAACTCTCCAAGTTTTTGTTCCTTCTGCTGTGGCCAGGTATTGAACTCACAACTCTTTGGGTCAAGTTACTTTTTGGATCACTCAACCAATGTTTTTATTCACTGGGCCATATTAAAGGCCTGAAGAAAGACTATGAAACAGCCCTAAAAGATAGTAGATTCCTGGCAACACTCACATACCACAGAGCACAAAAAAGGCCAATAGGAAGAGAAATATCATATGCTTAAACCCACTGTACAGCAAAAACGTAAAAACAAACCTAGGTAAAATATTCTTCAAACTCTTACACAAACACTTTCCAGAATCAAGCACTCTACACAAAATATTCAACAAAAACACTATAAAAATCAGCTACAGTTGCACCGAGAACATGGCACAAATAATAAAAAAGCACAACAGGAAAACTATCAACAAACCACCTGTACAAATTAAACCCACATGTAACTGTAGAATAAAGAATTAATGTCCCTTAAATGGTAATTGCTTACAAAACAATGTAATATACCAAGCCACAGTAAAATCACCAAATAATGAAGAAAAAGTATACATAAGAGTAACTGAAGGACCCTGGAAACAAAGAAGCTATACACACAAAACATCTTTCACAAATAGTAAATATGTGAACAGCACAATGCTTTCTAAGTATATCTGGGAAATTAAAAACAAAATGCAAATCACACCAAAAAATATCATGGAAAATAAGGAAAAGATCATCAACCTACAACAATCAATCCAAAATCTGCAAACTTTTCTTGGAGGAAAAAAATAACTATTATTACCTTGCTAGACCAAAATAAATTACTAAATAAATGATCTGAGCTCATCTCAAAATGCAGACATGGAAACAAATTTTTACTAGATTAAAAATCAAAAACTGAAAAGAATAAATAAAAATAAACAAAATAATAAGAATAAACAAGTAAAATAATTTTAACCCAAGCAAATAATAAACAAATTAACACGCAACAAAATAAAATAAAGATAAATACATAAAAAACAAGTAAAATAATCAATCCAAATAAATAAATAAAGTAAATAATAAACAAATCAATCCCGCCAAAATAACTGGTAGAATAGACTACAACAATCAATTCAAAAATTGAACGAAAAAAATAGCTATAACTGCTATATAATGATAAAAAGAAATATTAAATTAAAAAAAAAAAAAAAAAAAAACTGAAAAGAGTAAATAAAAATATACAAAATAAAAAATAAGTAAATAAATAAGAAAAAACAATTAAAATAAATTAATCCAAATAAATAAAATAAATTAACAAACCATTCTTGTAAAAATAACCATTAGAACAAATAAAAATAAATAAGCAAAAACAAGTAAAAATAGTCAATCCAAATAAATAAATAAAATAATAAACAAATTAAAAACTGCCCCCTGCCAAAATAACAGAATAGACTACAGCAATCAATCCAAAAATTGGACAAATAAATATCTTCCCAGACCAAAACTATTAAATAAGCAACCTAAGCAAATCCCCACACCAAATTTTTTACTATGTTAGTAAAACATTGAAAACTGAAAAGAATAAATAAATATATAAAATAAAAAATGAAAATAAATAAAAACAAGTAAAATAAATTAACCCAAATAAATAAACAAGCTACTCCCACCAAAATAACTGCCAGAATGGATTACCCACAATGCACCACAGACCCATATATATAAATAGTCGAGAAAAAAACCCAACACTTGTGGCCTGACGATTGCATCTAGTATGAAACAGCCTGTTGCCTCTCAGTGTCGACTTCAATGTTCACTTATGTATACATATAAAGACATTTTTATGTTTATACATTCTTTTTATAGATACAAATATTTAAGTTTATGCTCCGTTTATAATAAACAGTATTAATAACAATTACCAACCTGAATATGAAAATTTCTCGGACATTCAGGCCAGTAAATGTTATTAATACTGTTTATTATAAACAGAGCATTTACTTAAATATTTGTATCTATAAAAAGAATGTATAAACATAAAAATGTCTTAAAATAATTGTTGGACTTTGTCCATTTCATAATGTGTGACATCATTTGTTTACATTTGGATACACTTTGAGCAGATATGAATGTACATGAGAGATTCATGGAAGATTGAAGTTTAAAAGCAGTAAAATTGACCTTGCTAATCGAACAATCCTCTGTGGCTCAATCAGTTAAGGCACGTCAGGCTATATGACGGATCCATATAGGATACAGGTTCAATTCCTGTTGGAGGACGAATATTTTCTATGAAAATTTCTCAGACATTCAGGCCAGTAAATGTTATTAATACTGTTTATTATAAACAGAGCATTTCCTTAAATATTTGTATCTATAAAAAGAATGTATGAACATAAAAATGTCTTAAAATAATTGTTGGACTTTGTCCATTTCATAACACACACACACATATATATATATATATATATATATATATATATATATATGTCAGCTTTATCTCATATACAAGGATTTAATTTAATTTTTTCTGATCATTTCCTTTATGATGATGTTGATGACTACATTCACCGCCAATGTGTAGGTTCAGTACTAAAAACTTCCAGTTTCATCAAAACCTGTTCCTGTCATTCATTCCCTATCACTGTTTGATTTGCAAGAGTTAGTTGGAAAGAAAATCAGAGTAGAAAAAAGTGCTGATGGTGAGAATTTGTTTAAGATGAATCTTAACTTGTCAGGAAGTGACCCACACACTTGATTTCATGACCTTCCTCCACAGCATATGTAGAATGAGATATTCATAATCCAGTTATGAAACTGCAATGAACTCTGCCACCAACAGTAATTTTAAATGGCACCTTCAGCAGCATGTCCACCATGTGTATCTCTCTTCATCTGCTGGTTCAACATATATATAACAAAACTTCGATATTTCAACATGGTGTAATGGTTAGCAAGCTTGTCTCACTAGATCAATTACAACTGAGTAGTGAGTATGGTTCTCACTGGATGCTCCATATTTTCGGCACATTTAACATGCATATATAACTTAGTATACACACACACACACACACACACACACACACAGGATTAATGCAAATATAAAATCTGTCACTTAGCCAATTGATGTTATATTCAGCACCTCTACTTTGTTGTTTCATAGACGAACCTTTGTGTAATTGTTCAGTTCACATAGTCAGGAGATATCAGCAAATGTTTGCCAATTTTCTCATTTTCATTGATTTTATATTAAGCTTTTTTTTTTTTTTTTTTTTATTGATGTTAGGTTGATTTTTTTTCTTTGTAAATGTGTATGTGTACACCTGTATGAATGAGTATATGTGTAGGATTTTGTGGTTATTTCTTTTCATAATTTACTTGTCTCCTTATACTCCCGTTATTCCTTTTCTTTATCTTTCGGCTCTGAGTGCGTCAAAAGATAATGTAGCAAAGTTATTTCCACAGTCAGAAACAACTTAAAATTATGCTACTATTCCAGAATATTCTAAAAGACTGCCAGTACGTTTTCTCTCTCCCACTCCTTAATAATGTTTTATTTTTCTCATATTTCTCTCACACTCAGTAACCCCTTGCATCTTAGTGGCTTTATTACCTTGCTTGTGGTAAAATAATTCAAAAACAAAAATAATGTTAGCAGTACAGGCTGGTCTGTTTTGTTCTACAGATGTAAGATGGGGACACACAAAGTTTAGCCTTACAAGAATTTATAAAATATTATAAGATTTATTATTTTTAAATGTGTGCGCATATACATGCAAATATTTTTTCCATGCCTGTTAGGACAAGTGAGAAAAAGTAGAATGAAATGAATGGAGTTTAAAAAAAAAAAAAGAAAAAGAAAAGAAAAGGATACATTACTTTTACTATCTACAGTGAGGTCATATAGAGGAGTCTGATATTTCTCCAGCCCCGTAAGAGCACAGCCATAGAGACGGGCATGGTGAGCAGGCCCTAAGATAAACACCCTTTTTCTGGAAAAAGAAAAAGAAAAAAATATTATAAACACTTAAATTATTGTACATAATAAATCATTTGAAAATAAAATGAAGACATTACTTATATTCAGACTATTATCCTCATCTTTGGTGGTGCTATCACAGCATTTCGATTGTTGTGCTTTTCAGCCTTCCTCAGGTATATATTGATCTGGGTAACCTACAGGGAATTCTGAAGTGAACCCTTTATTTAATCTACCATTATTTACACTATTTATATTCGGACTATTGTCCTCGTCTTAGTTGTTACAATGTTTCAACTGCCTCTCTGGCCCTCAGGTACATTGGTGCCTTCAGGTATCCTACAGGACGATGGCCTAGTAGATAAAAGCGTCGATTTGTGAATTTGAGTAACAGTGAGTTCAAATCCTGGGTAGGGCAGTCTGAAACAGGCAAGCAGTAACTGAACAGTATTAAATAAAAATAAGAACTAAATTATATTCCTAAACAAGGGCAGTGGAACAAAAACAGTTTACCCTTATAGATTAGATAAAGGTTTCAGTTCAGAATTCCCTGTAGGTGACCCAGATCAATATACACGAGGAAGGCTGGAGGGTACAATGGATGAAATGGTGTGATAAAGACGAGGACAATAGTCTAAATATAATGTAAATAAATGTTAACTCCTCATCCCACAAATTCATGTAGAAACTGAAGACAGTTATGTTGTTTAATCATTACCTAATTGTAATGATGGATATATTACACATTTGTCAGTGGTGGAGCGTATTTAATATTTGATAATTTTGCGGCAATATGTGCTTAAAGATTTTAGGCAGTTTTGATCAACATTTCTTTTCATGGTTAGCCATAAGGAATTGTAAATGTAGGACTACCTTACACTTAAGTAAAATAATAATAATATTTAAGAATTTATTACAGGAAATATCAAGTTTTATGGAAACAATGTTGATAAATATGTATTTAATTACATAAATAAAAATAATATAAATTTTGATGCTATGTTCAATTTGTTAAGTATTTTTCATTTTCTCCTTTGTTATTGGCAGCATTTTTAGAATACTTTGGCTGCAATGCTAAGTTTCCTAAATTGAAAAATTGGAGCTATTTCGTTTATACTTTGTTACCTCTCTTTTCCATTGTTTTTAGATTGATTTCTTCCAGTCATTTTAATGGGCAATAGTGAAATTCTGAAATTTAAAATGATCTTATTTCATTTCAAAAATAAAGCCTGTAAAAAAGAATATTTTAAATTAATATATGACCAAAAATAAAATGATTTTGATAAAAAACCTCATTCACTATAATTATGTAACAACAATGTAATGATATTCTGCAGACAAATCTACAGTTTATGTTACCTCACCTCATTACATGGTTATAAACTATAAACCTAAACTGAGCTTGAAATATTGTGTAATCATCTCTAAATTTTTGTAAATATGATATAATGAATAATTTGCAGTGAAAAAAATCAATTTTCAATTTTTTGCTGAATTCATCCCTCCTCTGCTGAACGTGTCATATAATCCTTAACTATTAATCATACTTGGCAGGTAAGAATAAGTTTTGATTACACTAATGTATGACATGTTCAATGCAAAAGGCAGTGGATTGACTCAGATAAATCTCCATTACCAATTGTAATATTGCTGCCATATCTGGTCTGATGCTCCTATATATCTTGAGATTCTTGATCCTGACATCTCAACTTCAGTCACTGATTTGATGTAGCTTCTGTCTTTCCTTTCTACAAATATTTTCATAGCAATTGTTCTGATAAGCTTTTCCCATTGGTACTTTGACTACATGAATTTAAGCAATGCTACTAGATTGGCAAGTAGGTCTCAGTGTTTCTGTTGAACTAGCTAGATGCAATCATATGTTCTATTCTAATAGTTTCTTTTTTCACCTGTGGAACTCATGAGTTCTTGCTTCACGGCCACCTACAATTTAAAAATTTTTTTAATGCACACCAATCGCCATCTCCTGTTTTTCTGAGTACTGTTCTTTTATTGTCCTTTCTCCTCACTAAAATTTTCTATTTTCAGTATCACCTTGCTTGGGGTGAAATGATAAAAACGAATAAAAACAAAAAAAACAATTACAAGCATATTATAGTGTTTTAATATTATGAATACATTTTTGCTATTTATTGTCAACCATACTTCAGTTTACCTATCACAAAGAAAGAAAAACTAACCAAGAGAATAACATGTTTTCTGTGTTGCCAAACAATGGACATTGGGGCACATGATTTTTTTTCTCTTTCTCTTAAGGCTACACTTGACTGTTTGGATGAATCCACTGATTCCTTTTTATTTTTTTTTTTTAAACCCTTAATGTCTCCTTTAACATTATAGTAACTGTTGTCACGCTTCAATAATGGCTTCTTGAACAATAACTATCTTCCACAATTTCATTTGTCACCAATTGCTCTCACAGGAAGTGACATACTTTGGCCAAAATCTATACTCTTTCAGTTTCATAAGTATTGCCAGAGTAACAGCATTCAGACTGGCTTCTTCAAATTTATTAAAAAAACCTTTTTGGTAATATTCAACCTTTGGACCTGCAAAAAAGAATAGTGTGTCAAAATAAATAATAAATATTTCATTATACAGAGTGCAGCAGAATGGTATGTCATTAGTTAGATGAAAACACCATTGCCACTAATGTCATACCATTATGTGGGAAGTATTTCTGCTGCACCCTGTAGTTGATTCACATATTTTTATAATTTTGTAAATTTTTATAACTTTAGGAATGAAAAAAATTGTTTTCATATTTATTTCTTTATAAAATGGTAAATGAGAAATATTGCATTGTTTACATATTTTTTTTTTAAATAAGCAATCTAACAATTAAATAGTGTGTAACATTTTTGCTGTTATTAAAATTCTAAACATAGCATTATAAAACAATACATTGCAAGGTAGTATACAATAATAGTGTCAAGAGTCGTTTTGACACATTGTTTTTGTGGGTCTGAAGGTTAAACATTGCCAAAAAACTCTTGCAATGACACTATTTGGGAAATGTAAACATATATGACCCTTGCTTAGCTTCTCGCCAACCAGATAAATTACCACAATGTTGTGTCTCCATTCTCATTCTTCCTGTGCCAATGTGAACTGGGAAAGGTCAATTGTACATTTATAAGGAAAGAAAAAGGTGGTAATTAATAAGTTGAGGAATAAAGACATAAATACACATTCCAATATATTTGGTTGTTTATTCAGGGATTCACTTGCATGGTCTGGGGAGGAGTAGGTAAGTGACCCTTGAGATATCTTCTGCTACTTCTGTCATGAGAAGATTAATGGATAAACTTTTTTTTCTTATCAACCAATGAGAATTCCAACTCTCCTATCACCCCTCTGTCAATCTCTATATTACATGTGGCTAATAACAAGTATCATTGGAACTCTCTCACTTGATGGATGACATGTACTGGCCAATAGGCAGCTTAAGAAATACTTTCAATTCTAACTGACTGTTTATATAAGCATACAGGTAGAATTTTATAATTTCTGGTCAAATGCCAACTGTTCCCTAATGTTTTCATTCATTTATTACTTTATTCCTTTGGTCAAGTGTGTGGCTGCTTTAAAGATCCTAATTCATAGACTTTACTGTTGGCCTTAACAAAACCAAAACACTTTAGATTAATATAAAATCATTTAGGGTCCACTTGACTTTGTGTTCTAAAGACAGCTGGCTTCCATTGTGTCACAAGTAAACATAATTCTGTCAAAAATACAGTATTTAAAGCATTGCAAATTGTGTATAAATATAATAGCTATTTCTATTTTTTCTTATAAATTAAAAATCTAGTCCTAAAAATGTTATATAATTTTCTTCATTGATTCTATATACTACTCATGACTCTTATAACAGGAAGCTGGTAAGTTCACAGCCAAACTAAAAAGCCCTTTATACGAGATGTGGCAGAAATACCTTCAAAATAATGGTAAGACATTAGTGGTAATGGTGTCTTCATCTAGCTAATGTCTTAATATGGGAGTTATTTCTGCCACACCATATATAATTTGTATTTTTTTTACATATATTTTAATAAATTTTGTCTTCAAAAATTTTTTTTTACCTATGAAAATCGTAAATTGATTGAATACACAGTAAATTGATATAAAAATAAAAACATCTGTTTTCATACATTCGGAAAGACAAGGCGGGGAAGGAAGACAACAAAAAAGACAAGATGATTCTATTACCACTTTTTTTTTTCTTTCTTTTTATAAATACTCAAATAAGGAGGCAGTTTGTTTTTGTTAAATTTGACATCTTTTTTAGGCATAGGAGGCATATTTAAGGAAAATGAGTGCTATTTATTTTTGAAGGTCCAAATTTGATTATCCTTTGACTAACCCAATCTTTTCAGAGCAAAAATTTTGTGATAAATCTCAATGAAACATGCTAGATATTTTGAAAGCAATTTATAAGGTATATTAAAAAAAAAAAAAAAAATTTAATTGTAAGTACAATATTTGTTGGTGAAATTTTCAGTACAATAAAAACAGGTATGTTCAATATTCGCTGAAAAAACAGCATAGCATGATGAAAAAACGCCCCAAAACTTCTTTTTTTTTTTTTAAGCATTACGCTTTGAGCAAGGTGTGAAGACACTAGAATGCAGGGGGTTGCAGAAGATTTGGAGCAAGAGCAGATAGGAGTGATAGAAGAAAGGATGAGGGGGAGGGATAGTGGGTAGATCAAGGTAACTGGAGGTGTCGATTGACATTACATTTGAATAGTTGGAGATTATAGCTCTCAGGGAAACAGTAATTGGGAAGGATGTTCCACAGGCGAGAGGTGCGAGGTATGAAGCTATTGGAGTAGAAGAGACGGCTACATTTAAAAGTTTCTACAGTGTAAGAGTGGGAGCGGGATACCAGCCTCATAGGGCGCTTGAATTCATGGAGTCTGGGAACCAGTGAAAGCAGCTCATCGGAGCAATTACCATGAAAGTATTTGTAGAAAAGACAGAGAGGCAA